GATAAATAAAAATAAAACCTTGATGTTATGCACATTTTTCCGTCCATCGATTAACTCTATCGCTTCATTATCCAAGCTGTCTGATCGATAAATGATAGAACAAGCAAAAGAATGATACTATTTTATGGACAAAAAAGCATTCTTTCTCAATAATATATGATTATGCTTTATCCCACGTATACGGTTTAATGCACGCCAGCCGAATATTTTTTCGACATGTACATAAACAAAATAATACTTTCATTTTCTCTATTAAACAACATCGACACATTACCAACGGGTCACATTCGGCATTACAATATACATCGCAATAATACAACAAGTAGACGTAAGGCTTTTTGATATTGCAGTATCTCTCATAAGCCGTTTTAGTCTATCAGTGTTCGGAAGATTTTTCTATCCTTAAGTGATACCAATAATGAATGCTCATTTCAATAAAGAAAACGAGTAGATATTTTTTGAATAACTTTTGATAGGTACAAGATAGAAAGCTGCAGTTTTCACTGTTGGGAAAAAAGTACACACAGCGTATCTATACATATTAAGATGTTGAGATTCATTTCATTAATTTCCTCAACTATAGGAACGGTCATATGAAATAAAATGAGGTTGTGTATGGCTATGTATGTATCAGGGTCAAAACAACATCAGGGTAAAAAAACATTCGCTTAAAGAAGTTATCGATTTGAGGCTTTCGATCAATTAGGTTTTTTCAGCCCACAGTTTTAGCCTATCAGATGTTTTCGATATCGGGCTTCCAGCCAATCAGACTTTTCCGCCTGAAAGTTCAGCGATTCATAAGTTTCCGACGTTGGCTTTCGACCAATCAGATTTTTTCATATTTTGGGTCAAGACAAGAGGTTTTCGAGAAAATAACGATATTTTATAAAAATTGGTGAAAGTAAACCGAGATCGGAGAATTCGAATCTGAACTCGGCTTCTCAAAATTTTCAACTGAATTTTTAGAGTTAGGGGGAAAATTTTTTTTGAGAAAATAATAATATTTCATCGAGTGTAGGAAGAATTATATGAAATAATATAAATTTTTGTCTGCTTTTGTCAGAGTGAAAGATGAAACGTGAAAAAACACGTTGGCTAAGTGGTCGATGGTCATGTTTTTAATATTACGCTTACGGCTAATTCGATTTTTCAGACTAAAAATTCACTGAATCCGACGTATGCGATAAGTTCTTCCTTAATCAGCTGTTACATGACTGAGTTTCCATGGAAGAGACTTGCATCGACAATGGAAATGAATGAAATAAAATAGTGTTTCTTTTGGTATATGCTTTTCGTTGTATTAATTTAAGTATCTGAATGTATACTGATATATTCAAATTACCTATCTAGTCTTATCACTACTTTGAATAAGAGTTTGTTGTATGTATGATATTTCGATTCGAGATTAGATATAATATGATTTATTTTAAGCTAGGGGTTTCACTGAGCTTCTAGTTTTCTAGAGAACTCTATAGTAAACAGTATTATGGACGAATGTTCTAGCATGTATACAAATTTCTAGTAAAATTTTCAAAGCATATTCTGTGTTTTCATATAATTGTTGTGAACATCTTTTGCTAGATGGTGTCTGAAAAAATGGAATATGATATCGTATGATTTTCCGAACTAGGCCGAGTTCGGCGTTAGCTAAAGTGTAAATAAAGAAGAATTGTGTTGTGGAGAAATAGAATGAAACATAGCAGCGGCTAGCCGTGGGTGGTACCCCGAAAGGGCGCCGACGAACGACTAGTCGCTGCATTAGAAAGTCCCTTGAATGAAGACCAGGCTGTTGGGATTCATTCAATAAATAGCAACAATCTTAGATCTGACGAGTTTGAATAAGGAGTCGCAGTTGCTAAGAACTGAGAAATATTTTGAAATAAAATGTGACAACGCCTTTTCTGCATGTGCGTAGTACATGAATAGTAAATTTGACGGAAAACAACACTTGAACAACTTATATTCATGTTATCGGAATGAGAATTGATTGAAATAAACAGGGTTTTTCTGCTGGGATGTTTTTTTATCTGTACTGATTCGAATATCGACATATATACGGATATATTCACATTACAGATCTTGTGTGACGACTACTTTGAATAGGAGCTTCTTTCAAGTATGGTACTCCGATTACAGACCGGAACTAATTAGACTAATTTTAAGCGAAAATTTCAAGTAAACCCGTATTTTTCTAGCAGA